AGCATCGATCGGCTTCAGTTAGCAGCAGTAGCGAAGGAATCGCTCGATCGGGTTCAGTTAACAACCATCGACTGATCGCTCGGGTTCAGTAACGCGTAGCCTGCCGTGCAATTGATCGAGTTCAGTAGGCGAACGCCTCGCCCGGTTCAGTTAGAGCCCAACGCCTCGCACCCACGCAAGTGCGTGTACAAGAGAAACACGCAAACCTCTGTGCATCGCTCGGCCCCGACCACCCATGATAACTGTGAACACCCCGATATTTTCCTTGCCCTCGCTTCTACCACGGTTTTTTCCGTCATGGACGGCCCAAAGAATGTCATGCAGCTGTGTCTTCGGCCCGCCCAGGACGAAAAGCCCATTTTCTGTCATGATTTTTTGTCATAGAAGTAGGAGCTCACCACATCTATGATGATACTAGGTTTTGTCACAATTATCGTCATAGAAGTGTCATAAGTATGACAGAAAAAAATTTGTTCGGCCCAAAATGTCACGGAGGTGTCTTTTTTTGTAGTGCATAGAAAATAAATGGATCTTCAAGAAGAAGACTGACGTTGATGGTAATGTTACTATCTACAAAGCTCGACTTGTTGCGAAAGGTTTTCGACAAGTTCAAGGAGTTGACTACGATGAGACCTTCTCACCCATAGCGATGCTTAAGTTTGTCCGAATAATGTTAGCAATTGCCGCGTTTTATGATTATGAAATTTGGCAAATGGATGTCAAAACTGCATTCCTTAATGGATTTATTAAAGAAGAGTTGTATATGATGCAACCAGAAGGTTTTGTCGATCCAAAAGGTGCTAACAAAGTGTGCAACTCCAGCGATCCATTTATGGACTGGTGCAAGCCTCTCAGAGGAGCTGCATCGGCTGGTGCGCTCGAGCCGTTGCAGCCATCGACGGACGGCCATGTCGCCTCTAGAACCATCTCTTTGCTGGCACCACCAACGGTGTTGCTCAAATGTTCAAGACAAGGAGGAGAAGCGGAGGCGTGTGGCCACAGCCAGGACACGGTGACGTGCAGGAGTCTGCTCCGATATCCAAGGCGACGCTGCACCGGGAACCCTCATGGCTTCAAGGCCACCCGGGAGGCATAAGGAAGAGCAGGCGCTTGGGGGTGGAGCGGCGCAGGGGGAAAGAAGCGCCGGAGATGGCTGGCGGCGGCCAGGAATGGAGGCGGTGGCGACGCTCAGGAGAGAGGTGGGAGGGGGTTACAGGGGTGATTGTTTTTTTTGACCGGTCTCCGGGGTCCAGAGAAAGGCCGCAGCGGGCCTCCACCGAGTTTTTCAGGGTTCATGCGCCCGTGTGCTTGTTTGTTAAAACTTAGTCTATAGAAACTAGAAAGGACGGTGTTATGTTCCTGTCTAACTGTCTCTTTCTCTGAATATTTTATTTAGAACTTGTTCCTAGCAGATTTGAAAATTCTGGAGAGGACATAGATTGCAGTAGTACAACCTATCACATGATGGAGAAAAGGATCCTAGAGAAGGACATTTGGCTTGAGCTGGAACGTGAGGTATATGCTTTTTAATTTCACACATTTTTTTTACTGTTTTCAGCTAATGATAGTTCAGTTGTGCGAAGGAAATAATAATTCAATGCATATATTATCATATGACCAGGTGCTACACACCTTAGGGATTTCTTCTATTGAATGGGCTTGACCAACAAGGACATAGAAGCACTCTTGGGTGGACATACTCTGGTAATGCCACACCACCTTATTGTCGTATTCAGATCATTGTTCCTCAATCATAAGTTAAACCTTAATCTACATTTTACATTTTTAGGAGAAAAGCTCGTATGGATAGCTCGGGATTCGACTTGGACAAAAGATCCTCTGAAGTTTCATAACTCCTACTTCATGTAAGCTTAATCGCCACGGTTGTAGATTGCAACACATTGGCTAAACATTATATATAGTTGTAATGTCATTAGTGCAACATTGTCAAGTCGTACATCACTGGACTTCATCTTTTGTATATCCTACAATGAGCTTCTGAAAGGGGACTCCAACGGACTCATGAAGCTGCTTATAGACAAGTTTCTCGTGGAGTTTCGAGCTTTCCGTCCCTTAGTTGAACTATACGCAAAGGTAAAGAAGAGTTGAATTCATCTTCATTAGCTTGTTGGACACGTTGGCAGGATGCGTTCTTCAGGGACTACGTGAAGTCGCACAAGAAGCTTTCCGAGCTCTACTTTACTGGCGTGGATATGCAGAGACAGAGCCAAGAGGGCTGTCATAAGAACTATCACTGTCTTCACAGTTGCGGTTGCTGTCATTGCCTATGCTTACATCTTTGAATCAAAGAGGAGGCACTATGGTTAGACTGCAAGTCTCCATGTTCAGATGATTGCAATTCAGTTATGGGTTCTGATGAACAAAGTTAATCGTCCATTAAGATGTTGTGCACTCGTATCTGTAACTAATCTGCTGATACAACGATGAGGATGCAGGTATGTTATCATCCATGTAATATTGTTAATGGAATAAGAAAACTGTCAATTATGCAAGTACATATTGCAAATAAGAAAGTGAAATGGGCGCACCCCACCAGGCACCGCCCCTGCTTCCTTTCAGGTGGGCACAAAGATTGTTCCCCAAAAAATGAAAGGTCATGCAGAAAGCAAACACAATCCAAATTTCATCACAAAGAAGATGAAGACATTAGTGGTGCAGTGAGAATAAAATGTATGGTTTTACCTAACTATAGTAGGTTAAATGATCCACCAGCCAATAGCAGCAAAGTGAGATTTGAATAAATACAGCGCAAATGGAACTTTGCATCAAAATTTACCTTGTAGCTTCCATATTTTACCAAGCAGAAGGGGCAAGCAAAATCTTCAGTGACTGGTAAGAAAAAACCAATATAAAAAACAAAAAAAACAAGAAGAGCAATGAGTCAAGAACCAACCAGAAGTTTTTTTTACCAACAAATGTCAATAAGTGACGTAAACTGACCATAGGTAATTGCATGAATCTAACACTGGATCTTTGTCATGATTAGCATTCACAACAAAGGACTAAAAAACGCGGCTGAAGCTATACGACACTCAATCATCAATATGTACACTAGTACAATCGATCCCATGATGAACACGTTCGTAAAATTTATTCTTCCAATTTCAATGTTACACTATCCTTCTGAAGCGCTACAGATCATATGAGGTGTGTGCTTTCTGTCTTATGCACCAGCATTTTCAGTAATTCCATCTTTTTTAACGGAGCATATCGGACTTTTGCGTTTATGGTAATGACACAGAACTTGATTTTCAGAACAAAAAATGCACAATTCATAATTAATCAAATGGATATTACTGGTGTTGTAAAGAGAGAAATTTATAAGCCATTTCTTATGTTAAAAAAATATCAGTACATTTAAACCATTATACTTACCATTACCGAAATTAGCTCGCCAGCTTTAGTTCCAGGATCACATGCTAACCTAAAGCGTAACGGCGTAAAGTTCTCCACTAGGTTACTAGCTATGGCACCACATTTAGTATGACAAAGTAACAAGATTACCACCATCAAACAGAAGTAGTTATTATTCCAACATGTGTACAATGAAGGAAAGTATCTTTTAATAGTTCAATGCTGGTGAATCATTTATTCTGATATCTAACATATCTAGTTCAATAATTTACATAGTGAGGTACAAGGAGAAAATGTGGAACACCTAGAAAAATGTCAAACACATGATACAAACAAGTGTGAGTGGAAGTGCGGAACTGAAAAACACATGAATGCAAATGTTTGTGTAAGGGTAACCTTCAGTCTTTTGCATAGTATTGCTGTAGTACTTGAAGTTGAAAAGCACATGACAAAGAAAGAAAAATTATATCTGCTCAATTGGTCACATTGAAATGCAAATGCATTTGTAGAGATGAAGGTAAAAGCAAAGTATCACACTAAGACCTGGCCAGATAATAGGTGCTTCGGTTAGGCTAAGGTCACACAAGAGCACAACAAACCTAGGCCGGTAGCCAAAACCTCACCACTAGGCACTAACATAAATTTGATATACTGACTCCATTCCTTTACCTGCCCTTTCAGACATCTAAATCTATATAGAAGGTAGCAATACATGTTTGTGGAATCCACACAATTTGAACCATCCATCCAACTTTCACCTAATGACTCAAAATTTTAGTTGGACTTTCTCAGATTCAGCTTTAATTCCACAATAATCCTCTTAATAAACCTCCATCTTATTTATTTTCCTCCTACCTTAATTGTAAGTGAAATCCTAACCCATGCTATGATTTCTCTTGTGTGCACTCACTCACTCTGCGTCCTCTTCTCTCAACAACGATTTATGGGCAAGGTGACATATTTCCCCCCTCTTCTCCCCACGCACACATGCCCACTTCCCTCCCGATATCTGCCACCTTTGCGGCTCACCTACCAATCACCCCCCATCGCGCTATCTATTGTGTGGCGCTGAGAACTTCTTTGCGTTTGCAATATGTTAATTTCATTTTGCATTATGTCCCTATGACCAATGCCATCACTTTGTTCAACTATATTTCAGGAAAGCCACTAAAAGTAATATAATGATCTGAAGGTATTTTCTATGGAAAATCTAGAACTATTATTTGAACATGACAAATCAGTATATATTTGTGTATACTAGCACCCAATTTAAAAGATAGACTCCATGCATTCTAAAACAACACCTAACAACGAACATATCCATCGTAGCCCGCTCAACTGTCATAGATGTCCAGTTTTCACCCTCAACTATGAAACAGAACATTTAACAGCCTGTCCATGTTGGTGTTGCCACATTTGGTACATGCCATCCACACACACATAAAATGTTCTCACCAAGCAGCAAGCTCAGCTGCACTGACTGCAAAATAGTGGCCATCTACTAAACCCTGTCAAAAAGTCAAAATAGATATCTTCGAACTAAGCGTTCCAAGAAAGCGAATGCAGTTACTAACGACTCTATTACAATAAATAGCGCTATAGATATGCAAATACATGTAGTAGTGTTACCTTATGATATGTGGTAATGATGAAGGTGGGACACCACTGTATGAGTAACTACTATGTGGAGATTCAGACATGTCTTTTGCACCAGCTTCTTGAGTAGATATGCCTACTTGGAGTTGATATGAACCCTACAACAATAATAAAAATCACATAGAAGCTAAGGAAATAAATAACCGAACATACTGCAGTAAGGTGCTGCCATCCTATATAGAAAATACTTATCACTTAAATGCGGAAACAATTATTAGATAAAAAATAAAGTAACTGGGATAAACTTACCGTAGCATCAACCTTATGAGAGCAAAATGTCAAGCAATTGTCCTGCTCCATAAATTTCGGCTGCATATATAACAAAAGGAAAGGCAAGTAGATCAACATATAGAGTCAAGTACGGGCATCTTTGGTTCAAGGCTAACTTTGCTTAAGCAATGTGTGTCTTACCACAAAAGAGTGGCTAACAAAATTAAAGCCACAAGTGTGGCAAAAGATTGTGTCTATGACACATGGGCCATATAGGTAGTTAAGTGTGTGGTAAAAATGAGTATGTAGCTCAAAAAACTGTGGCTTGCCTACGGTTAAGCGTGGCAAGTTGCGCAAAATATTGTGTCTATGACACATGGGCCATATAGGTAGTTAAGTGTGTGGCAAAAAAAGAGTATGTACCTCAAAAAATTGTGGCTCCTATGGTAATGTATGGCAAGTTATGCAAAACATTGTGTCTATGACACATAGGCCATATAGGTAGTTATGTGTGGCAAAAAAACAAGTATGTACCTCAAAAAACTGTGGCTTGCCTATGGTTAAGCATGGCAAGTTGTGACTGGGAACCAAACAACCCCTAAGATTGGAAAGTAGTTTCCACTACACTGCATATTCTCTCTCTTGATTTAACAATTTTCTATTAAAAACAAAAAAGATAGCGAATGAACTAAATGAAACACATTTGCAGAATCACTGGAATTTCCATAAACTACAATTTCAACCTTTACTGTTAATGTTCATCTTATAATATTTCAGTTATCTTGATGCAAATTGCACTACTAATTTGATAATTTTCCATCTGAACTTCTGGATGGGATGTGCTAATTAATTGCAAGCACTACAACCTTCTAGATAGCAGAAGGTACATGGGGTAGATCATCAATATTTAATGTACAGGTGGATAAGGTAATTTATTTAGTTGAAACATGATTCTGGTGCTGCAAAAGGATTTTGCTTCATCCATCCAATGGTTAAATACTACAGAAAATTTGCAGTGCATACAATAGGAACATTAAAGCTTAAAACCATGAGCAAGTTGAATTGGCATACCTCTAAGAAACTTGGGCTCATACTAACTTCAGAAGCCAACTCCACTGTATGTCCCAAATTTAAAGTTACACAGTTCTCCAAAGACGAACCAAGTAGATCAATAGGTATTTTACCCCAGAAACATTTCCCTTCAAGCTCTGACAAAATGCATCACATACATGATAGTAAATAACTACACTCAACAACACTACAAATCATAAGTGGTTTCTGAGATTCAATGTGTTATTTACACTTCATTTCAGAAGGCACATGTGCTAGCTATACTAGCCAGTATGGGTGACTGACAATAACTATACCATAAAAGGAGATAAAATAATCTAAACTAATGGCATACATGGCCTAGTAGCCCCTTGTCAAAAATAGATAATGCAATGTTTAAGGATACTTTTCATTTGATTCTCCTAACCACAGTAAAGGCGGTAAACAACGCCAGATCTTGCTCACCTACACTTTGTTAAGTAGTTATCCATGGATTAAAGGAATGTTTGTTAACTATTTTTGGTTTCCAACGACTGTAATACTAATCTTCCATGCAAGAGAAGGTCTGGTAAGTTGCTGTTAGCTGTGAGATAGGTGGTTCCAAGGGTTGGATTGGATTGGCCAAGAATATTGGGCATGAACTAGCTTAGCATACTGGGAGATGAACATAGTTTGATCACTGGTCTTCATTCTTGTCAAGAATTGGGCATTTGAGAATACAATTGTATCTTCCACCACATGATAAGCAACAGTAACTGGCTAGTGGTAGCTCAACCTGTGTGGCACATATTTTGTGTGGCACTCATTTTGTGTGGCTATCTAAATGTCTTACTTGCTACCACCTCTGTAAGCTAATATAAGAGTGTTTAGATCACTACTTTCGTGATCTATAAACGCTCTTATATTAGTCTATGGAGGGAGTAAGTTTTAACATATTGTGTTAAACAACGGTAAGGATGCGCTAATTCTAGTAATTGTTTAGTATTTTTTCACAAAATAACAACCACAAACTTACTTTGGAGAGCAGAGCCTTCCACATGGTCCACAGAGCAGTTATTTTCACCAAGATTTTCCCCAACTTGCCCTTCCGAAACTAAAAAGGGAACCAAATGTGATGGTGGTGAAGAAATGTAAAACCATAAGCATCACATATGACGCACATCATACCACGACTGATAAGGATAATGTTAAGGTTGCAAGGTCGGGAGGTTGATAAATTCTTGATGTCTGGAGTTATGAATGTAGCGTTGGTGCGATCTTTATTACCAAATTCACTAAAAGCTGTAAGCAAACAAGCCCGACTGAATCGATATATCGGAGAATGCTGCAAAACATTATGCATTAGTGAGATAAGAGATCATTTGGTCATCCTTGTCTATGTCACTCTTACTATGTAATAGTTGTCTCTGTTTAGAATGTCATTCTCGTCTATATCACAATAGTCTGAGCGCTGCAGATGGGTGCATTTTGGTGGTGTAGCAAGACTTCTTATGGACTATCATGTCTTGTTGTTTATGTCAGTAGTAGTCACTAGTCAGTGTTTGAATGTTGTATATATCGTTGTTTCGAACTGTTTATTATCTCGAACTACTGGTGGGCTAAATGAGGGCATCACCATTCTCCAGTGTTGAGAGTATATCTCCTTTTTTCAAGTTATATAATTTGAGCTCAGTGTCTTTTCGATGATGTACACTTGTTTGGGCCAGTGAGGTGTCGTTGAATATGGGCCGAGTAGTAACGCAATGCCAAGCAGGTCAATTATGACTCTCAGGCCGGGCTCTCAAAAGATCCTCAAAAAAGAAAAGGCCGAGCTCTCCAAAAAATAAAGAATAAAGACTCTTAGGCCGACATGTGGGTGCCACTGGTGTTTTCATGCGCTTGCGCGCTGAGAGCATATTGGCGCATGTTCGAAATTCATGCTACCTTTTCATCCCCAATCTCCCGCCCCTCCCCCACCTCTGGAATCTCGATTCCTACTCCAGTTTCCCCAAATCCCCCTCCTGTACTCCCTGTACTCAAGCGCACTATCATGTCACCGGTCAACACGGATCTCCAAGCCGGAGATCCTGAGGTTCGTCCTGCCTTCGGTCGCTGTGTGTTGTCGCTCAACAGTGGCATGGCAACACTTGACGACCAGTTTGCCGGCAAAGTGCTGATGGTAGCCATCAACAGCGACCGGCCTCCCGTCTCACCGGACGACCTTGTCAAAGCTCTTAGCATTGCGCACGGCATCCAAATAAGTGACTTGCTCATCGAAGTCTGTCCACCACCGGCTGATTTCTTCGTCACGTTCCAGACAACTTTCAACTGCAGTCGTGTGTTTGAATCTTCGCAGCGTTTGTTCTGC